GGAGTCTGTAACTCAGAAAGCACGGAAGTCGGAGCGTGGCTAGAGAGGGGGTGTTGTATGGCAGGGTCCCCAGAAAATGCTCCTTTCATACATCAAGATTTGTGTAGCAAATTGCAGAGCAGTGGGGGGCTGAGCACATGGGCTCTGGCATGCTGGCATGTGCCGGTGTAAGAGCTTGACTGGCGGGACTTAGCACTGGCGTTCGGCTCTGTGAAGGGCAGAGACGGGAGAAAAGTGCAATCTAAGGTGAGGATTCAGGCAGTTCTTCTATATTCACAAGAGATTTTCCTTAAAAGGTGCTCCCTGTGGTCACTACTGGGGCATCATTTCAAGGCGCGCGTCCATTCGGTTTGGGTCAGTGAGCCCTGCGTTCCTGGAGACCCGTTCTGCTCGGATGTGGTTTACTCCTGCTAACGCGAGTCATCTAACGTGGTTTACTCCTGCTAACGTGACGGAGAACTGGAGGTCCATCCTGGTCTTTTCTGTTTTTTTGTACACAGTCCCACAAAAGCACATTCTCGCCTCTACCCTTTACACACAGGACGGAGTCTTTGCGAGGAGAGGAAGGCGATTTCCCACTGGCCGTCAGTCCCCTTCACATGAAACTCCGAGCGTCATGCTGGTTAAACAGGTGTCTTCGTGCTGCTGTTGCTGGCAGTTGCACTGTCTTTCCTAAACTCTGTTTCCACGTGGGAGCATGTGTAGGCTATTAAGCGCTCAGGAGGGTTAGTCTTGGACTATTTCTATTTATTTGAAAAAACACTCCATGTTGAAGAGACCTTTCTTTTTTCCTTCTGTTTTTCTACTTGACCTGAGCATATTTGATGTCACTTAATCCCATCCAAACCACATCCCCACCCCCACTTTACATTATGTATTAAATTTTTTTTTAAAGATTTACTTATTTATGCATACAGAACTGGGGTACAGGCCAGAGGTGCTGGGGCGATGAGAGGCAGAGACAGAGTGGGGAGCAGGACAGGCAGACTGAGAAGTACACTGCTGAGGGGAGCAGCGGGCGGGTCAGGAGAGCTCTGCGGTGTCATGTTGTTCACCTCCAGGGCAGGGATCGAACTCATGCAGAAGTGACTTTAGCTTCTTGGTGCTGTGCTTTAACCTGCTGCACCACCAGGGAGGGCCACATTTTTAACATGTGCTTCATGTGAAAACTGCTAACAAATTAAAATTGTTTATATTTACTTTTCATCTGCAAACTTTATGAATTAACTGTTCATATGTGGGAGATTTAAAGGTGGAAAGTAGGTTTTTTTCTTTTGTAATCTGCCCAACCTTCTCCTGGATAAGGGGGTATCTCATTGCCAGGCCTGCACTTGGGGTTCACTCAGGGGTACTTGAGCCTCAACCAGCTCGTTTTTCTATTATGGTTTCCTTTTTAAAGTTAAGATTCAAGAGTTTCATACTTGAAAATACACCAGCATTTAAATTTCTCTTCGAGACTAATTCATGTGCTTCAAGGGCAGTTTGGAGGTGCTGGGACTCCCCCTTGTGGGGTCCTGAAATATATCCCTCAGCAGATGAAACAATGTGGTTATATGTTTCCAGCTAAGAGAAAAACCTTACACCGTGAATTATAAATTTCATCCATCCAGAAATTTACCAAGAATGACAAGAAATAGACTTTATCACACACCCAATTACTGGGCAAATAGGATATTTTGATATTTAAAATCATAATTTTGAATGAAACATGAGCTCCACATTTAAAGATCTATTTTAGGGAAGACAGTTGCCAAGTCATATTAGTCCTATTCAGGTTTTTAAAATTCATTTCTAAATGTACATGTTGAAGGTGTGCTTATGGCTTTTTCTTTTAAGTGTTGGGGCCAAGTTTCAGAATGAAGCCCACACCGCATGTCAAGTTTTAATAGAATCCTCTATCTTTTTTTTTAAAGATTTATTTATTTCTGCATACAGAACTGGGGTACAGGCCAGAGATGCGGAGGGTGAGAGGCTTCACCAGAGGCAGAGTGGGGAGCAGAACAGGCAGATCGACGAAGCACACTGCTGAGGGGAGCAGCAGGCGGGTCAGGAGAAATCTGCCTCGCCATGTGGATCTCCTCTGGGGCAGGCAGGATCGAACTCATGCGGAAGTGGCTTAAGCTTCTGAGTGCTGTGCTTTAACCCGCTGCGCCACCAGGGAGGGCCAGAATCCTCTTTCTTGTCGCCACCGTTTGATACCGGTTTTAGCTTCTCACCCTGCCAGGCTTACCAGCGTTGGTGGCTGTGTGCCCACTTTTATCCATCACCAGCTGTAAACTGAGGGCCAGTTACATGGTCCACCTGGAGGTAAAGGCGTCGGACTCCTATAAAACCTGTAGCGGGCAGCAGGTGAACGCGTTGTGATGCATGATGGGGAGCTCGCGAGGGGCGCGCCACAGACCAGTGCGTGGTGACGGCGGGATCCAGCTCTGGCGGCAGGGAGGAGCGCGAGACAGTGACATTTAAAAGCACTTGGAGGATGCCGGGCTTTAGCCAGGTGAAGATGTGGACAGATTGAAGACCAAGGAGCTGCTGGTTCAGCTCAGACCAGCGAGACTGGGGTGCACCAGGAGGAGGGACCAGGCCGGGACCTGCGTTTGTAGCCAGGAGGTGGGACCAGGCACCAGCGGAGGCGAGGACTTCGCCGGCCAGAGGGCTTTAGAGGCTGGGAGCAGACGCCAGAGACCTGGTTTGTCTTGTGAACTCACTCTTGATGCAGTGTGGACAGTGCAGGGCAGGGCACCGGTTACCAGGAAGGTCACTGAGCCCGCCCCTCTCACGCCGCTGAAGCCAGGGTCCTTCAGCCTTTCTGTCAGGCCAGCCAAAGGGTCGCGCTGTCCACTTGGCAGGCCACGTGGGCCCTGTCATGGCTTCTCGTCGTTGCTGAGGTAGCACGAGAGCCATGACATCACCGAAACAGCGAGCAAGGCCGCGTCCCAGTAAAGCAGGCAGCGGCTGGACCGGGCCCATGTCCGAGTCTGCTGACCCGCTCCCTCGGGTATTGGGAGCTGAGCACAGAGCGAAGGGACCCAAGTGCTGTCGGAGGAACACAGTCTGCAGCCCCATAGTGGGCTGGCTGGGAGGTGAGGTCACGCTGGCTTTCTGGTGTCTGGCTCACACAGCAGTAGGGTCACGGTGCCTGGTCAGGGTGCAGGCGTGTCTGGTTCCCGGGCTGCCGGAGGATTCAGGGTGCACCGCTCGTTGGCTGGACAGAGTGCAGAGAGGTCTGAGCTGGAGAAATAAAGGCGGGTCTCTGCAGCCTGTCTGGAGAACTCCTCAGGAAAAGTGAAGGGACCAGAAGGCAGGGTCTAGGGTCCCCTCAAGGACCGGGGCCCGGAATGCTCATGGGCAGAGGGATCAGGCAAAATGAAGGTTTGCCTGCCTTTGGCCGCGGGAGAGCTTTGGTGATTTTCATTAAAGCAATGCCGGGGAGCAGTGGCTCTTCTTGTTTATTCTCTCTGATGCTGGCCTCGCCCACAGAAAGAGGCATCTAAACTCTGGGTGCTCCGTGGGAGCTTCGTTCAGATGATTTGCAGATCAGATGATTCTGTTTGAGCCTGGCAGGTCCAGGCAGCCACCTGTTAGGAGAGCCTCGGTGTCTGGGCCCGTTTCCAAGCTGGGTTAAACGCCTTACATGCTTTTACGGCATTCGAAAGTGTGGTTTATTCTTTGCTTCCCCTCTGAATGGCAACCAAAATAGTTAAAAATGAGTTTTTGTTGAATATACTTGGGTAGCTATGGTAAATCTAACGTAGTAAACATAACTGGGATTGCTCAGTGCTAAGCCTCCCTGTAGTGAATATCAGCAGCCAAGTCAGCTACGGTGTGGGTGTGTCTCAGGGCCACGGTCCTCCCCGCCACGGCCCTCCCGGCCACGCCCCTTGCGGCCACATGCAGCCTTTTAGAATCAGGATGCCCACGGGAGCCTGAACCAAAATGCAGATCACCTGGCCTGGGTCCCAGCATTTCCCTGGGTCCTTGCACCTGGAGCCAGGTGGCCATGACCTTGGGTGGACTTTGCCTCCCCTAGTCTTTCAGGGTGGCCAGTATCACCCCAGGTGATTTTGACCTTGCAAATTCTGACAGAAGTCTGAGTCTTCTCATAGACTTTTGTCCCTGTCCTCTGTAGTTCTCCATGCACTAAAAAAACAGCCAGTTGCACTGTGCATGTCCCTGTCTGGTTTTGTCATGGCTTTGGAGCCGTTCTGTTGATGGAAGACACTCAGAAACACAACTGCACTGGCGGTTATGGGGTGAACCTATTTCAAAAGTAGAGTCTTACGTTTACTGCATGTTTGTAAAGTGTAAGAAATGCCAAACCCTGGGGGCAGGGAGGGAAGTGCACAGAACTACGGCGATGAAACATGAGTGACTCGGTGATGGGGAACCCACGGGGATTACAATTGAGATGAAAAAAAAAAAAAAAGGTACAAAATGATGTAAAAATAAACTATAAAAAAAAGAAAGAAAAAGAAATGCCAAAGCCGGTGTCACTGTATATTTAGAACATCTGTATCTGCTTCTTGCCATATAGGACTTTCATGTTGCCCAGGGGAGAGCGGATGGTTTCCACTAGAATGTAAGCTCAGCTACAGACAGATTTTTTCGTTTCACTCTCCATTCTGTTTCCAGTAAATAGAATAATACCTAGCAAAAAAACTGAAGTTATTTATTATTTGTTGAATGAATAAAATGAATGGCTCGAGGTCATTTCTGATAAGTTTAAGTAATAGATTGTTTGTTGTTAATATTAGATTGAGGCTTCCCTTCCTTTTTAAATTCTTTCCCCCTTTTCTTCTTTTAGGTGGAAACCACTAATACTAGCCTCTTGCAGGTGCAACTGGAATGCAGTTTACACAATAAAGTGTGCCAGCAATTAAAGGTAAAGTGAGAAATGTGGCGTCTCCTCTCTGCCTTCTTCCTGCGCCTTTGTCTCTGCGTAGAAATAAAATATAAAACCATGTATTCTGTTCTCAGATATACACATACCCTTACCTCAAATACTTTTCCTCTCTGTAAAATCCAGACTCAGAGTTGAGATGATTTTTTGAGTGTGTCCTTTTCCCCTGTCTTTCCAATCTCAGAGTTGTTATCTGGAATCTGATGATGTTTTGCAATTACAAATGAGCATAATTGTAACAATGGAAAACTCCTCAAAAGAGTTTGAAGAAAACACACAAGATTTGTTAGATCATCTCTCTATTGTTTACGTAGCTACAGAGAAATCTGAGACCTCAGGTAGGTGGACTCTACAGTTTTGTCATTTTCCTTTCTTTCGGTGACCCGGCTCTCGCCTTTACCCGAAGGTCGGGTGTGCCCTGCAGGCCGAGTCGAGGAGGCTGGCCTTGCAAGGTCCAGACAGTAATGGCTTCCCGCCTGCCCCTGCCACGAAGGCGGTGTTGTTTTGAAGGCAGTTAAGTGGCCTCTGCAGACTATTCTGAGTTCCCTTGGAAATCTTTTCCTGGCATTCTGGAGATAGTCAACAAATGGAAAGATCATGCAGCCTAATGAGATATCCACGAGGCCTCTCAAGGCCTGTTCCTTTTGTTCCCATTTTACTGATTTGCAGATGCTCAGTTGACTAAATCAGGCTGTTTTGCATTTTTAATACTAGTTTAGATGCTGGTCATTCTGGTTGGTTACCTGACAAGCCAGGATACTGTGAGTTTTAGTTCATTTCAAGGCACTTTGTCTTTGAAAATGTGTCCCCTACTGTCCAAGAATAAGCCAATGCATCAGTTTCAGTGCCTAAAAACCTTTGTAGGAAATACAGGCTTGCTCCATGACATTTGTCAGGTGGGGCCTTCTCTCATGTTCTGGTCTGTTCGTGTCTGTGTGTGTGTTTACGCACATACTTATTCAGAGAAATAATGGTACCAAAATACAGTCTTTTTTTAAGATTTATTTATTTATGCATACAAGACTTACTGGGGTGTAGGCCAGAGGTGCAGGGGATGAGAGGATTCACCAGTAGAGACAGAGTGTGGAGAAGAACAGGCAGATTGACTGAAGTACACTGCTGAGGGGCATAGCGGGGAAGACAGGAGAAATCTGCTGCACCATGTGGGTCACCTCCGGGGCCTGGGAATCAAACTGGTGCTGCAGGGGCTGTGGAGAGTTTCGTAGTGCTGCGCTTTAACCCGTTTCGCCACCAGGGAGGGCCCCCCAAATACATTCTTAGTTAGCAATCACAAGTCCTTTCCTTTCTGGTCCTGGGAATTGGTCTAGTCGTGACAGGCCATTCTGTCCCAGCCAGCTTCTGATTGTTCTAAGGTGGATATCAATGTAGCGAAGAGCCCCGCCCCTGAGAAGCATTTCTGTGGGTGAGGGCTAAAAGCAACACCGTGTTTGAAGTTGCAGGGTTTTATTTTTCCTGCGTGTGGTTCAGTCAGTGACTATGGAAAGGCAGCTGGCTGTCTGCAGAGAGGCGGCTTTATTTGTCCAGTGGGCTGGTTTCCCCCAGCATGGTAGTAGGGTGACCCTTACTCGTGTGATTTAAAAGAAGACCTAATAAAGTATAAATCCAGGCTATCCACTGCAGTGCTGAGAGAGAAGTTACAATTGTTTTGAATTGAAAATGTGTGCGGTGATACTTAACTACTGTGTTAAAGTGTGAAGATAGGTCTGGCTCTTTGTTTGTTTTTTTTTAAGATTTATTTATTTATTCGTACAGAACTGGGGTAAAGGCCAGAGATGCAGAGGGCGAGAGGTTTCACCAGAGACAGAGTGGGGAACAGAACAGGCAGATCGAGGAAGTACACTGCTGAGGGGAGCAGCGGGCGGGTCAGGAGAGGTCTGCCACG